GGACATGGCGAGAAAAGAACTCTTATACATTGTTGGTGGGACTGTAAAATGGTGCAACCATTCTGGAAGGCAGTTTGGTGCTTCCTCAAAAAGCGGAACATAGAAATTTCATATGACCCAACTATTCCACTACTTGGAATATTCCCTGAGACTATGAGAACTGAAGCACAAATTGAGATTTGTACATCAATTTTCATAGCATTATTTATCATCGCAAGAACATGGAAATAGCCCAAATGTCAAACCACAAACGAATGGATTGAAAAATTACAGTACATTCACATAATGGAATACTATGCAGCAAGCAGGAGCAATAACTTTGTAAATTTTTTTTATAACTTTGTAAATTATTCCCTAACTTAAGAGGAACTGGAGAGCATTATGCTGAGTGAACTAACTCAGTCCCACAAGGATAAATATTGCATAAAACTGTTATTGTTGAATGAGTATAAGCATCCAGGAGGGGTGGGAGAGGCTGGAAGCAGAGAGATGTGGATGTGCAGGGGGATTAATAATCGAGTGGCACAATTTGATAGGTGAGGGAATTTGGAAGAATTTGTGTTCAAGTTTTGTAAATAAACTAGTTGTTGTTTGTTGTTAAGTTTCCTCGAGTTATAGGTGACTCATAACAACCCTATAAACGAAAGTCCTCAACACTTGTGTGACTTTCATCCTCTCTCCAGGTTCATAGGGCTTCCAGAGGCAAGCTATTTATGGAAGTGGATGCCACTCCTGCTTCCAAGCTTGTTTTAGTCGGGGAGCTCCACCAAACACTGTCCGCGATGGATAACCGTTAACACATTTGACACATCAGTGTCACAGTGTTCAGCTTCACAGCAACCACCTGTTACCTTTGTACAGCAAGTGGACACAACAGGGCTATATGACCTAGAAGAATGTTTGGACAAAAACAAAGAAAAACAGGCCTGAGGGCCACGGAGTGGAAGTCACCCATATTTGGCTTGGTAGCATCGCTTTCTCTCCACTAGGCCAACTGATCTCTATGTTGTTGGTGGTGGTGTTAAGTGCTGTCAAGTCATATGCGACTCATAGTGATCTTATGAACAAAAGTCCTCAACAGTTGTGTGACTTTCATCCTTTCTCCAGGTTCATAGGATTTCTGGAGGCAAGCTGTTATGGAAGTGGATGCCACTCCTGCTTCCAAGCTTGTTTTAATCAGGGAGATCGATATAAATAAACTAGTAGAAGAAAAAAAAAATAGGAGTGAGGGCGGTTTAGAGATGGCCGTGTCTGACCTCTACTCACTGTGCAAGGGGAGCTCTCCCTGCTGATGTCATCCACAGAACACAGCCAAGTGCCTTCTTAGCACTGTAGGGAGAACATCAGTCTCACAATACAAAACCAATTCCCATGAGGTCAGACATGCTCCCTCCCACACACACACTCTGACACCTCCTTCTAATTCCAAGACCAATCCTACTGCTCTCCTAGGTTCAAAAATCTTATAATAGCTATACAGACCACAGAACCATACTTAAAATTATGGAGTTTATTCGGGAAGTTAACAGGTTACAATAGGGTTGAGACAGGATACAAGTTCACAGTCCGGACAGCTTCATAAACATACAGCTTTAGGCTAGTGTTACAAAGTATTTGGTCTTGCCAATTATGGCATCTTTTTCAGGTCCTCCTCCCCTGTCCTCCAGCCAATTTAGGTGAGGACCCCTGGCTCTGGCTCCCTGGGCACAGTCCCAGGTCAGCTCTGTCTTATGTTCCTTTTCGGCTGGTGCTTTTCTGTGGGCCCTGCTGACTAGCACAGGAATCTCTGGCCTTGGAGGATGCTAACTGCATTCGCTGCTGCCTCTTTCTTGCTAGTAATGAGACTCTCCAGATTTCTGCCAATGAACCTGCTCATTTTAAACCTGGTGGAATGGCAAAACTAGCCAATCGCCTTGTGGATAAGCTAACACACTGTTTACATGTTCTTTCCATGTGGGAAGGTCAAGGGCAATGACCTAGGCAAGCCATTTTGAACAATAGACTCACTATACCACCAACTTGTCAGAGAAATTTTGAGTCATGTAGTTATTCCTTGGACTGAGATGGACCTGGAAAGAATATCTGTCACCAGATGAAGGGACTGTGAAATGAAGACTTCAGGCAAGTCGTCAGTGTGGTCCTAAAGATAATGAGAAAAAAACGAAAGAGTGGTGGGATTCTGGAATAAATGAGGGTGGTTGATGTGCATGTGGTCCCTCTGACAGTTAATGGCTTCGTGTTCTCCTCTTCTGTCCTGCTCAGATAAAGGGCATCTCCATGCTTTGAACCTCAAATGACTTTATGCAAAATGGAAATATGATATAGAAGACATGGTCTTATCCTTGGAGAGGTGACTTTTTATTAAAATTTCCTTTGGAGGCATGGAGACCTCAAAAAGCCTATGAGTGTCAAACCCAGACTTTTAATTACTCTAAACTCTCTGTGGATTTTAACCCCCTAAGAACAAAATGCCATGCCAATATGAGAGTTATTAAAAATCGTTTTATGGTAAATAGTCCCTCTACTAATAGGAACCAAACTATAGTTCACTGTATTATGTTTGATTAAACAGGGGAGTGGCAATTTATTTTTTTCAGTGTGTGCTTTTTAATAAAACCTATATGTCAGTTGTATTTTAAGTGGACATTTTTTTTTGTCTGGTAGTTAATATGGTAAAAAAAATATGGAATTAGATAGTAAAAACTCCTTAAATCCTTTATGTTCTTTTGTTTGATATTTTATGAACATTTGCTGTTCGCTTATCTCTTCCTTGGATTGCATGCTTAGCAAGTGTGAGAGATTTGACTAGATTAGGGTGACTGCAACATTTAGAAAAATTTATTCACAGTTTGTTGTTCTAGATATATAAGGGATGTGGGGACCTCTGGTGGCTTAGTTCATTTTTTCATCTTAAAAAAAAAAAAAAAAGAAAAGAACTAACTGGATCCTAAATAGAAAGCCAGACAGAATTTTAGTGGGAAAGGACTTTATCGATCAAGGCAAACGTTCTTATTTGACAGGAGAAGAAACTGAGATGCATAAAATCCAGGTGACTTTTCCAGGGCCATACGGCCGAGCCTAGGCCGAAACCCAAAGCATGCGTTCTCTCTGCAGCGTGACTCCGCCCCTTGGAAAGGGAAGCAATACTGTGTGTGGCTTGGGAGAAGGAGAAAATAACATTTAGTTCCTTAATCTGCAGTTTTAACCCATTTTTTTCTTAAAATGCCATTCCCCTTCTTTGTCTTCCTTCACCCACATTCCCTCTGTTCGTGGTACCCCCCTCTCTCCTGGGGTCTATGCTAAGCCTCATCCTCTTGAGGGCATCCACTTCCCACCGCTGAAGTTCGAGCTTAAACACGTGCACCTGATTCACTATTGTGTATACAATTTTCTCCCCTTAAATCCCCAGCAATTGTTGTGGCCTGACTGAAAGCTTATGGAGGAAATTAGTTTTCTATTTCACACTTTTATTTTTGTTTGTTTGTTTCGTGACGTTAGAGTTACAATCTCAATGACACAGCCCTCACTTCCTTGAGTTGTACATTTCCATTGGGAAATCATAATGGGAGGAGACTCCCCATCTTTCTCTTGCAGCGCCACCAGTGGGTTCAAACTCCCAGAAACATGCAGCACAGCTCTCTACAGATTATGCTGCCAGAGTTCCTCAGATGGCATGGTTGTTGTTGTTGTTGTTGTGTGCCATCAAGTTGACTGCCACCCGTAGTGACTCTGTGCACAATAGTTCTGAACACTGCCCTGTCCTGCGCCAATCTCACTGTCCTGACACTGCTAAGCCTATGATCCCAGTTACTGTATCAACTCATCTCATGCAGGGTCTTCTCCTGCTCTGTCCTTCCTTCTGAGTGTTGATGTCCTTCTCTTATGGACTAGTCCTCCTGTCAACATGCCCAAAGTATGTGACAGAGCTTCAATATCTTTGCCTCCAAAGGGAAACTTGGTTTCACCATGTGCAGGACAGATCTGTTTGTTCTCTTGGCAGTCCACGGTATGTTCAACCCTGTTCTCCATCACCACAGCTCAAAGGCATTGATTCGTCTTCTGTCATCCTTAGCCATTGTCCAGCTCTCCGTGGCCTGGATCAAGCACACCTCAGTCTCTAGACTGACATCATTGCTCTCCAGCACTCTGGAGAGGTCCCTGACAGCAGATTTTTCCCTAATGCAATTCATCTTTTGATTTTCTGACTGCTGATGCCAAGAGTGTTGACTGTGGAACCAAGCAAGCTGAAAATGGTTGACAGTGCCTGCAAGTCAAGATTTGCGTCCAGGTCTCCTGAGACCAAGCTGATGTCTTCCTCATCACGTACTGCAGCCTCTGGTAGGAGATTTGATAAGATGGGATTGTTGAGTGCCATCTAATCATAGATTCTGATTAGTAGCGGCTACACATGACAAAGAACAAGTGTCAGTTTTTGCCGAAGCAGATTTCCATGTTCTTCTGCTGTGTAGCTGCCGGCTTCAGTTTGCAGCCAAGGGCTTCTCGTTTATCCTGCCACCCACACACTGTAGCCAGTTTGCTTTTGACGCATAGCAACCTTCCTTTGGGTTTCTGAAGCTATAAGTCTCAACAAAAGGAGCCTGCTCGGTTGTTTGTTTTGCTGTGGGTTTGTGTGTGTTTGTTTCATTTTCTCTCATGGAGAAGCTGATGCATTTGAACCATTCCTTTTTTGCTTAGCTGTACAAGACACTGCACATTATGTAACACTCTTGCTCTCTTAATAGAATGATCTTATTGCCATCAAGTGAGAACAGTCTCACAGCTGACCCTTCAGTAGGTTTTCTCAGAACGTGTCAATTATGCAGGCAGAGATTGCCCATCGTTCTCCGGCACAGCGGCTGCTGGATTTGAACTACCAAGGAGGTGCACCTCCACATGGATCACATCACTAGAGCTCTCTATAGATTGTTTGAATTCATGCATTTGCCATTTAATGCTTTAGGCCTAATGTTGGTTATGCAGAGATATACTTGTCTTTTCAGTTTTTGCCTGTTCAAGTACCTAATGACGAGGAAAAGAAAGATCCTGTCCTTTTTGCCAATAATGTCCGGAATACCATGGCAAAGTAAGTCTGTGTGGCTTCATTATCAGTACATAATTTTGAAATTACTGGTAAATGACATTTAACATAATTTTAATGTGTTTTTATCCCCCCTGAAGGCCAGCACTTGGTAGGTAAAATAATGTGCCCAAGGGCAAAGTCAGTCTATCTAGACATTTTCCCATCTGCAGCTCCCCTTGGGAATTCTTTTGTTTAGAAGGCAGGTCACCTGAGAGGGCCAGGGGCTGCCTTCTGCAAGGTCCAGTATCTCTCACTGGCCTCGCTGTCCTGTCAGCCACATCTTTGCTCCGGTAGTCTCCACTTTATTCTTCATCCCGTCTCTCAGTGTCCCCAGAGCAGTCCCAGGCTGGCATTACTGCGTGTAAAAAAGGGAAAAGCCTGCAAGGAAAAGGGATGCAGAGGAAAGGCGCAAAGTCTCCCCAGTGAGGGATGGCTCTAAATGGAAGATTTAGAAACTGTCAAAACACAGAGCTAATATTTGCCTGCACTCAAGCAGCTTGAACTGGTGGTGGTTCTGACTACATAAATCACCTTCTGTCTTGTAATCAAAGAGTGTCTTCTACTAGAACCACCAGCAAGGTGGTCCCAGAGCCCTCCAGGTAGGTGCCCTTTCTCTTTCCATCCAGAGTAATAGGGCTGGAGTGAATACACCAGCAGGATTTATCCTATTAGTAAAAGTTCGATGAGAATCCTGAATTTAAGTTCATGAAGCGTGGCTTCATAGCAAGATTATCTGTGTCTCAATCTATATGTATTCATATTTGTTTCTGTTCTAACCGGCTGCTATTGAATTGATCAGGATTGCTAGTGAGCCCATGTGACAGAGGAGAACTTTTCTGGGTTGCAGTCTTTTATAATAGCACATCAGCAGGTCTTTGACCTGCAGGTTGGAGGGTGGATTCAAACCAATAGTCATTCAGGTAGTTGTGGAGCATTTAAACCATTGCTCTGTGAAGAATCCTCAAAGAGAGACTTAATATGTGATACGTGTGTGTGCATTTGTGGAATGAGAACAATAAACCCTTCATATTTCACACCAGAAAGCCTTTCATTTTCAAAAGGAGTAAGTAGTTAGCAGAACATCTTGCCACCTAGCTATGCTCCCATCATCTGGTTCCTCAACCAACTGCAAAATTTGCTATTGTATTGTTTTCTCCCCTTTCTCCCTCTATCTTTGTATAACTTATGCTCAAATATTAGGAAAGATGGTAAGTGCTAGGAGCTGAGAGAATTCATCTCTGATATTTTGTCTTGCTAGCATGCGCCTAAATCAGAGAATTTGGAAACATAAAGATATAACGGCTTTGGAGAAAGGATAAGAAGATGAGTTTATTAGCTTAAAAATGAGTTTATTTGTTTGTATATCCTTAGACAAATAATCTTCAAGGCTTATTTTCCACATGTTAAATAAAAATAATAATACTACCTTTGCTTTATTCTAAGTTTATGTTGTGACGAGAGTCAAGGAAGGAAATCCATGCTAAAATTCTTTTTGACAGTGATAAAAAGCATAGTAGATGTACGTTGGTGGTGGGGCCACTTGAATGACTATGTATCAAGTGTTTAATATATAGGCTTCTTACTTGTGTTATCTGACATCGTCCTCACAACAACTCTGTGAGGTTAAATGAGAAAACTGAGAATCAGAGGAGTAAATCCTTTGCTCAGATTGGACCAGATACTGAGATTTCTTCTGGTACTAAACCCCACATTTCCTATTACCAAAGCCTGAGCTCTTAACTACTAGGCAATGTTATTTATTACTATCATTCCTAAGATACTCTTAATTTTCATTTTCTGTTGTATACCTCATTGTGTCAAAATATTAATCAGATAAATATTTGATGATAGAAAAATTACAGACAGAAAGAAATGCTTCATCCTGGTTACAGTGTTTCAAGATTTAATATTCCTAGCAGTAATTCAACAAAATAAAATTTCATTGAAAACCTGATTGTCTGATTTGTACTGAATATTTGCATAATGAAGTAAGTGAAGTAGGATCTTCAGGAAATTATTTCATGTCCTGCACAGCTTTCCTTCTTGGGGCTCTGAGTGTGGTTTTCACTACTTATTAATAAGCATTTTCTAATATAGTTCACTACTTTCAGGTCTTTGAACAGGAAGGAGATAGTAGAGTTTAAATTCTCCTTTAAGGATGAAAGGTGGTTAGGTTTGGAAGAAATACTGGCAGAACATTGTTATGTAGCCAGAAGGTCATCTCGTATTTTAAAAGGTCAGAAAGCACATATGGCTAAAGGTCTGTATAGATTGGTTGCTTATAATATAAACAACCACTGTTTATCTGTTTACACAGTACTTCCATATGCATTCTTATTTTCTCCTTATAATAACCCTGTGGAGGTAATAGAATAAACAGTATGCCTATGTATAAATGAGAAAACGGGCTTTGGTTAAGTTCCAGGTGGGCCTTTCTTTCTAACTACCTTCCATGAGACTCAAGTTAGCTCTTATTATTGTTAATCATTAAAACACAGAGCAAAACTGGTCAGATGCGGAGAAAAGCGTACGGACATAAGGAGATTAACTCAGGGACAGGAAGCCAGTGACAAAGTAAAGTCTCCTTGGTGAGAGAATGTCAGAGCTGCTTGTTGAAAAAGTAGTAAAATCTTTCCCATCTGCTATTGTTCGTTAACCAACTCAGGCCTAGGGACATATTCGAATCTCTCTTAAATATGAAATTTTCCGTTTGCTCTTTAATGCCTTTAGTGCTCTGGGAATACCAGTAACGGATCACACCTATGAAGACTGCAGACTGATGATTTCAGCAGGGCAGCTCACTTTGCCCATGGAAGCCGGGCTGGTGGAATTTACTAAAATTAGCCGGAAATTGAAGTAAGTATATTTTAAAATTAGTATCCTGTCATATCACTATTGAACAATATCATGAATACCACATACAAGCAAGATCTTGCTGAAGATTATTTTAAAAATGGCTGAAACAGTCCATCAACAGGGAACTTTGAGTCTTTCAAAGTGAATTCACAAGAGCCCATGGCACTAGAGATGTCTTTGCTCTGTCAGAAAGATCTTGGCTGAAAGCAGAGAATACCAGAAAGATGTTAACTTGTGTTTTATTTACTATGTAAAGGCATTTGACTTTATGGATCATAACAAATTATGGTTAATATTGAGAAAATGGGAATACCAGGATATACTTAATTCTGCTCATGTGAAACCTACAACTAGATTAAACAGCATTGTTTAGACAGAAGAAGGGATCACTACATGGTTTTGAATCAGGCGAGGTGAGCATCAGGGTTGTATGCATTTTACATACATATTTAGTCTCTATGCTGAGCAAATCATTCAAGAAGCTGGATTCTAGGCAGAAGAATGTGACTTCTGTGCTTGAGGACGACTCATCAGCTGCCTGCACTGTGCAGACAATACAACCTATCTTGCAGAAAGTGAAGATGATTTGAAGCATTTGCTGCAGAATATCAAAGACTACAATATTCATATGGATTACAGCTCAGCATCAAGGAAACAAAAATCCTTACCACTGGACCAGTAGGCAACATCATGATAGATGGAGAAAACATTGAAGTTGTCAACAATTTTATTTTACTTGAATCTATGCTCAAGACCCGTAGTAACAGTAGTCAAAAAATCAAAAGACATGTCGCACTGGGGAAATCTGTTTTCTAGAATCTCTTCAAATGCTAAAGAGTAATGATTTCTGTTAAATACTGAAGTGTGGCTGATCCAAACAATGGCATTTTCACTTGCTTCCTATGCATCTGAACATTGGACAATAAATACAGAGGATAGAAGAAGAATAGATGCTTTTGAATTGTGATATTGGAAGAGTACTGAATATTGCAGGGACTCAGAACAAGCAAGACTTGTTCTTTGTCTTGGTCTTGGTCTTGGAGGAAGTGTAACAAGGTGCTCCTTAGAGGCAAGGATGGTGAAACTTAGTCTCACACATTTTATCTATGTTATGAGGGTCGGTCCTCAAAGTCATCATGCTGGTAAAGGTGGAGGGTCAGAGAAAAAGAAGGCTCTCAACAAGTTGGATTGGTACAGTGACCATAGTGGGCCTGAGCGTGTCAGAGATAGTGAGGATGGTGCAGGATAGAACAAGGTTCTGATTTGTTTGTTGTTCATAGCATTGCTGTCAGTCACAGTCAGCTCGCCAGCACCTATTAAGAATACACTTTCTTAAAGACGCCCAGAAGAGACCTGAAGTCCTCTATGCTTCGTTGTTCAGTACAGAGATAGTAATTGTATATCAGCAGAGACCCAGCTTGGAAACAGCTCTCAGTAACGAGTAGATCCCGCCACCTGGTGAGAAAACCAGTTGCCGCCAGTGACGCCAACTCACAGTGACACTCTGTGTGTCAGTGCAGGCCTGTGCTCCACAGGTTTTTTATTTCTTTTTAAGCCAATCAAATTCAGCAATGAGGAGGGAGTATACTAACTGTAGTTGCACTAATGTTAATAGTTTCTGATAACCCACTACCATCGGACTAGCCCTCCTGAGGCTTTGTAATGGCTGAGGTGTCAGTCGTAACCTCTCAGGCTCTTCTTCTAAGACTCCTCTGAGGGGGACTCAGACCCTCCTTCCCGTTAACAGCAGAGCATAGTCACTGCTCTTCGTAGGGACTGCTTTTGAGAGGACATCTAATCAGATGATACTGGCATAGATGACAGATGGAGAAATAGATTTAGATATGTTAAGAAGGTCCGTCCTCAAAGTCATCAACGTGAATAGCATCTCATGATGCTCGTGATTTGTGAAATGTGAGTCGACTTGGAAATTAGCAGCTCAGCGTTACACACGCTGTTTTTGTGCCACTGAGTCTATTTTAACTCATAGCAACACCAGGTGACAGTACAGCTGCCCCTCATGGTCTTCTTGGTGGTAGTGATCCCTGTGGGTTGCAGTTGATTCAGGGACAGTGAGTTTGATCTGGGGTTCATCGTTACAAAAGAAGATTGCCAGGTTTTCTTTGTGGAGCCGCTTGATAGGTTTGAACCACCAACCTTTCAATTAGCAGCTGAGCATTTCCTCACTGTATCACAAGGACTTCTTTTAAATATTCAAGGTCTGCCCTTTTAATTCTGATTATCCAAGTTTTAAAAGAAAACAGCACAGAAGCACTCTTTTGCGTTTTTAGAATCATGTGTAAACTTTATAGAAATGTTGCCTTGAACTATTCGATGTGAACATACCACTCTTACTGCAACTCATCTGTTGCAATTAGGAATCTGATTAGGAATTTGCAGATTCATTAATTTCAGAGATGTTTGAGGTGCATCATTGGAAGAAGCTATGGAATCAGTTATTGTGTCAAAATTAATTATTCAATTATAATTCCCTGAGAACTGATACAGGCAAACAGACAAACTGATGCTGTTGTTGTGTACTGTCGAGTCAGAACAGACCCATAGCTGACCTTCCAGCAGATTTTCAGAGGCAGTTAATCTCCTGGGAGGAGACAGCCCATCCTCTTGCCACAGAGCAGCTGGTGGCCTCGAACCTCATACCTTTGGGATTGCAGTGCACTTCTTGCCACTAGATAATAAAAATATTTCTCATCATTGTTTTGATGTTATAGTCACAATACCTTGTAGGTTTAGATAATTGGTGAAATTGCAATTGCATGTAGAATGTTTGTGTTAGGTCACCTGTCTGATAGGTCACCTGTCTGATTCTTTAAGGCAAAGCCCAGATATACTATAAGCTATGGTATCTTTTTCAATGTTTTATCATCCTGCTTTTTCATATTGTTGGAAACATGTATAGTTTAATGAATTCCCTTACCACAATTATTTACAAATTGCAAATACTATGAGGTTTACTCATTCCTCACTTATTGATATGGTTCATTTCCAAAGACCTGGTTGGTATGCAGAAATCAGCATAATGCAGAAGTAGAGGCTTATTTTTCTGGTTTCAGATCATTTATTTGTCTGGTTTTTTAATTTAGAAAATATGATCATAGAAGTAATACCAGTGAAGATTTACTAGTGGGCTCAGTCCTGTGATTAGTCCACATAGAGATTATTCCTCGGCCGAGAAGACTTGGAGGTCACTCTGGGGGCACAGACCACAGGGAGTTACACTGCTAGGCCAAAAGTGGTGCCCCCTGGCAGTTTGACTCCATTCCATGGGAGAAAGATGAGCAATCACTTGACGTGTGATACATAGCCTCCAGAAATTCACTGGAGGGTCAGCTGCAAGTGGGTACAAGCTGGATAGCAATGAGAGTTTGAATGAGAAGAGGCTTGGAGGAGACAAAGGAAGATTAAACTGGCCATGTGAGTAGATAACCCATGACGTAACCTTTTCATCTTCCTGTCCTGGGTCAGAATCCCTGAGAGAGCTGCTCCCAGGGTGTCTCTTCCATCCCTGCAAGCCCTTCTAGAGTCCTGGCGCCAGCTTTACAGTCTGGACCTGGTGAGTCACGAAGGCTCAGGGCTTCCTGCAAGGGGACTGAGAGCCTGTCTGAGGGCCTGGCCGCACCAAGACTGAACTTCCGGCCTCATTCTGGTCATTTGGTATCCCATTAAACTCCCAGGCATTTCTTCCAGTATTTTCTTTCATGCCTTTATTTTCTCCCCTTTGACTCCATGATAATTTGAGCTGAAGAGCCTCAGTCCATTTAAGATCTGGGAATCCAGAACAGGCGCTCTATGACCAGGTGCTCTAAAGCTGTGACCACAGAGGAGCCTGGGCCCAAGGAGCAGCCGAGAGGAGTGGTAGGTGAGGGGCAGAGTGGCTTAGCTTCTTAGAGGACAGCTGGAGATCCTTCTCAAGGGAAGGAGTGCCCTAGTGACGTTGCCCCCATGCCTGCCATCCAAAGTTGATTCACAAAATAGTTGGAGAGTAGAACTTTGTACTATTATATTGTTGTTGTGTACCGTCAAGTCTTAACTGACCCATAGCTGACCCTCTTGCGGGTTTTCAGAGACAGTTAATCACACCAGAGGAGATTGTCCATCCTTCTCCCTCAGAACGGCTAGTGACCTTGAACTGTGTGCCTTCGGAATTGCAGCACAGCTTCAGGCCACTAGGCTGCCAGATTACAGTAATTATAAATGTCAGTTAATGAGATAGTAAGTGAAGAGTAGATACACTATTCAGATTAAAATTTGCTTTATGAATACCTTCTGATGAGCCATTTATTATTCCACTGCCTCGTTCTTTTTCTCAGGTACTTCTCTTCAGACACTTGGGACGATGAATTGAAAAAAGTGAAATGCCTGCATACGTATACAATATGGAGTTTAAATGCCTATTTTATTTTCCTATTCCCTCCAGTAATTTAACACCGAACATTTTTTCCTTTAGGTTTATAAAGTCATGCTCCTATGGTATCCATGTGCACTATGAAGGGCTAATAACATGTTTTTCTACCTCTGTCTTTGTTTAGGTTAGACTGGGACGGCATTCGTAAGCATCTGGATGAATATGCATCTATTGCCAGTTCCTCAAAAGGAGGGAGAATTGGAATTGAAGAATTTGCAGAGTATCTAAAGTTGCCCGTGTCGGATGTCTTGAGACAACTTTTTGCTCTCTTTGATAGGGTATGTTAAAAGTGAATCTTAAATGTGCAAACATTTTTATTCTTGATCTTCCACAGAGTATAAACCAGAGTGTAGCTGGTGTCAGACAAACTTTCTTAGGTCTATATTGAAGGAAAGTTGGGCTCTGGGTTTAATTCTTTTCCCCCTTAATTTTAACAACTGCGTGTGTGTGTGTGCTGTGTGGTGGAATCGATGTGTATCTTCTTATTTGTCTCTTCTGAATTCTATTCCTCTGCTTTCTTTTGGATTTTTATTTTTTCATATTCCACTTTAATTTACCCATTTTGTACTATCTTTAAGTGGCTGTTGTAGGAGTAAATGATAAATATAACTAATTTTTTGAGATGTATGCAGAGCTAATTTTTTTACAAGTTCAGTAAAATTTCCAAAGCCTGCAACCGAGGTAGGACCCTTACCCTGTTTGTATTTTATGTTTCCTGGGCTTTCTCTTCGTTATTTCCCCCATTTTCCAATGTATGTACATCTACATACATACATTGAAAAGCCTACTGATGTTACAGTTTTTGCTTTCATCAGTTGTCCTTGCTTTAAGAATTTAACAAGGGGGAAAATAGCCTATTGTATTTACGCCCAAAAGTTTACTGTTTGGGTTGCTTTTCCTTCATTCCTAAAGTTCCAAGTTTGCATCTGATGTCATTTCCCTTCAGCCATTAGAATTTTCTATCACATTTATTTTAGTGTATGTCTTCTTCCTGTGGCAAATTCATTTCCTCTCATCTGAGAATGTTTTTATTTATTTTGAGTTCTAGAGGCTATTTCTGCTGTAAATAGATTTCTGGGTTCTTTTCTTTCAATAAGGGTTACTGTCTTCATGCCTCTGTGGTTTAACCATCTTATTGGTTGACCTTTAAGATGTGCTTTTCTCACTGTTACCCCTGCTGTGGTATTTTGTACACATGTAGCTGTTTTTTGTATTTTCTTCAGAGATTTTAGTTGTAAACAGTGGAAGACATAGGCTGGAATGGGCATGTTCCATTTTGACTGGCCCCAGTTTGTTTTCTATTATCTGCTAGAAAAGATACTTTGCAAAAATAAATAAATAAATAAATAAAAATTACAGTTTGGTGATAGAAACCAAAACAGGGCCTTTTCTTTTTTTATTTTCTTTTCTAGAACATACACATGTGCCTAAAAACTTATTCTGTCATGTCATACATGAAATGTTCTTTATCATGGTACCGTCAGACAGCCTTCCATCTGTGGTACCCAGGCCTCGCTTCCGGGCTTACTTGCAGCATACAGATAGTCTTCCTATATCCTTTAAATGACAATGCGTTGTTGGAATGGTATCATAAAAGGTAATGATAATTTTAAAAAAAATACTTTCTTGTGTGGAAGTTTAGTAAATGTTTACAAAACATCGACACTGATTATCTTTTTAACAGTGTGTCAGCATTCTCATTCCATCCTGGACAGTTTGTTTGTGGTAATCTGCTTTCCTTTGCCCCTGTCTCTTTCCTTGCTCTTTCCTTGCTTTTAATGTCTTTGTCAACCAACTGGTTTCATCTATGTGATTTGTTAAAGGAGTGCTGTACTCATTGCTACTGCTAGTATTCTCTACAGTTTTTGCGGCAATCTAAAAAGAAGACTTTAGGGGATAGTTTGAGGTTCATGATTTAAAGAGAATCACAGGATGATAATTTTGGAGAGTCTTCTATCTCACCTGGTCCATTAAGTTTGGATTTATTTTCTTTTTTTAAGAGTCTGAGTTCTGTTCTCAATTTTTCTCCCCTTCTGTTAGCGTCTATCCATTGTGTCCCTAATCAGAGCTCTTGTTAGTGGGAGCCAGAGACCACCTGGTTTTTCTGCTTCGTGTAGACTATAAGTTCTATGTGCTAGTTTTTGCTGAGTCTCTTTTCCTTTTGCTCTGGTCAAGAAAAGATCAGTAATTGTATCTCAGATGGATGAAGATCTGAAGAGAGGAGAAGTGTGTTATTCAATGTAAATGTGCAAAATAGGAAATTAAAAGTGCTGTTTCACTTGTATTATTGCTATTATTTCTGAGATTTATCTTGTATTTTCCATTATGGTTCTAACCATGCAAGTAATTTTAAGTTGTTTCTATAAACATCCATCTTTTGACAGGAAGGAATGGGACAGGGACGTATAAACAAAGATAGGAGATGAGGAAATGGGATGGAACACGGAGCAGAGACCAGGAGGCCCATCTTACAGCTCATCAGATTCACTGGGATTCTTTTATTTTTCTTTCTTTTTAAATTTTATATTGGTTTGCATACAAAATTCATAAACACTGTTTCATTCATACATATTGTGTTTCACACATTCCTTTATTTACATTGTGTTTCATATGATCATTCCATACATTGTGCTTTATAAAATTAATCACCATTGATCTGTGCCCACTATTATCCCTCCTTTTCAGGTCCCCATTGGATCTTCCTTAATTCCTTCATCCTCTTCCACTGCCCACCAAACTCTCCAACCCCATGATTTCTTCCCATTTCCACTACCCTGTCCCCAACCCTTCCACCTTTGGACTTTTATCCACATCTGACTAGTTATTCTTCTATTTTTACAATAACGGTGTTACGCAGTATTGTCCTTATGGGACTGAGTCAGTTCACTTCATATAATTCTCTCCAGCCTCTCCCATGTTACGTAATATTTTTTAAAAAATCACTGTTCCTGAGTGCTGCGCAGTATTACACTGAGTAAATGTACCACAATTTCTCAATCCACTCTATTGTTCATGGACATTTGGGCTGTTTCCATGTTCTTGCATAATGTTACCATGAACATCAATGTACAAATCTCCATTTGTGTCTCAGTTTTGTTTTCCTCCGGATATATTCCTAGCAGTAGAATAGCTGGATCATGTGGAATAGAATTTCTATGTTCAGCTTTTTGGGGAAATAACAAATTGTCTTCCGTTTTACAATCCCACCAACAATGTATGAAAGTCTAATCTTTCCACATCTTCTTGAACAATTATCGCTTGCCGTCCTGGTACGCTTTGCCACTGCTGCTGGGTGAGATGGTATCTTTGTGGCTTTGACTTGCATCCCCCTTATTGTCAGTGATTTTGAGCATTTCTTCATGTACCTGTTGGCCATCTGCATGCTTTCCTCTGTGAAAAGTCTTCCACCCATTTTATAATTGAGTTATTGGACTTTTTTTTAATGGAAGCCTTATATTATTTGTTAAACTTTAAATCTGCAACCTTTGAGGTGTCATTACCAAATTTTTTCCCCCCGGTTGGTAGGTCTTCTTTTCACCCTATTGGAAAAAGGTTTTGATGCACACAGGGACTTAATCTTTAGAAGTTCCCATTCATCGATCTTATCCTCTCCTGATTGTGCATTTCTGGCTGCTTTTGCCAGCCTATTTAAACCATCCACTCGGCCTTCTAAGTTTAGTGTCATGTGTCTTATGATCTTTATGATTTTGGGCTTTAGGAAACTAAGAAAGCAATACCATTTACAATAGCCAACCACAAACTGAGATACTTGGGAAACCTAACTAAAGACACAAAAGATCTTTATAAAGAAAACTGCAAAAGACTACTATGAGAAACAATAAAAGACCTAACTAAATGGAACAGTATTTCCCGTTCATGGATAGGAAGACTCAATGTAGTGAAAATTATTGACCTACCAAAAACAATCTATATGCTTAATGCAATCCCAATACAGATACCAAATTCATTTTCTAAAGCAATAGAGAAGGAAATTGTCAAGTTTGTTTGAAAAGGAAGGAGACCCCAAATAAGCAAAGCATTTTTGAAAAACAAAATGAAATGGAAGCCATAGCACTCCCTGATCTAAAAACTTGGTACACAGCTGTAAAAACTGAAACTGCATGTCCTGGTACAGCAACAGGCATATAGACCAGTGAAACGGAATCCAGAATCTAGAAGTTAACCCATCCACCTGCAGTCACCTTTGCCAAGGAAACAAAACCCATCAAAATAGGGAAACAACAACCTCTGCAGTGAATGGTGCTGGCAAAACTGGACTTGTACATGCAGAATCTGGACTTGTACCTGAAGCAGGATCCACATCTCACATCCTACACAAAAAAAATCAACTCAAGGAGTTTCACTAAGATTTTTTTAATCAACCTAGAAAATAATATCCAGAGAGATTATTAAGCAACATAAATAATAATACCCAGAGAGATTGTCCTTCCCTTCAAATGTCAATTTGTCATAACTAACAGCTACAGAATGGTTATGACAACAGTTTAGTTTTGGGTTTGTTTTTATTTTTTTCCTCCACCAAGTCTGTCTTTTAATGACTCATCTGTCAGCAGTCCCACTGTTTCTAAGCACAGTTAAGTAATGTAGGGAGATGTGGGAGTAGCGAAGGAATAGAAACCAAGGATTAAAATAACTTCTCGATGAAGAATTTTTCCCTAGATACTAACCCAAGCGAGGCCCACACTGCAGTCCCTCTGTCTCATGATGCTTTCATTGCTGTCGAGTCAGAACTGACCCATAGCTGACCCTGCAGGGGGGTTAAATTGCACAGAAGGAGCTTGTCCCTCTTTCTCCTACTGAACTCATTGATGAATTCAAAGTACCAAAGAGGTGAAACCTTTGAGTTAGCAGCAAAACTCCCGTATGGACTAGGCCGCCATCCTCGGTACATTTTGTATCTGAACTAGGTCCTTCTGAATGCCCAGTTAGCCACACTCACTGTCTCGGAACTGGAGTGAGACAGTGGACTCCAGGCGGTTGGGAGACTCAGGAGCCTCCAATGTGGTTGTTCACCTTTCTACACGAACTGATTCCATCTGCGCATATATCATTGACCAAGCTTTCGGCACCTCTTTGTCTGATGATGTGGCTTAGTTTGAAATGTAGGCTGTAAACTGGCTTTAAAAAAAAAACAACCCACCTTTTTTTATTAATTTTAATGAAAACTTAGAGACTTTGGATTTCCATTCATTCATTGTTGCACTTTTCTCCCTGCCCACCCATCTCCCCCAGTATACTCTTCTCTTAGAAAAGTTAA